CTTGTACATGTACTGGTAGTAAATAAAGATATATTATTATTATATTATATTATTATATTATTCAGGTATACACAAATACAGTTACATAGATTATCACACATAACAGCATATGTATAGAGAACCTGGGATAACCCAAAAAAGTCAGACAGAGTTACTTATTTCCACAATTCTATTCATGTGTTCCTGTACCTAAATAAATCTGAGGCCCACTACACAAGAGTACAATAATCCCCCTAAAATAGGGATTAATGTAAACTTCCAGTAAATATACATTGAGATTAATAAACCTCTGGGTGTATAATATCCTATCTAGAGCCAAAAAGACCTGTGTGTATAACTGACCTCACCTGGGAATCGAACCCTTGACCTTGTGATTATGAACCTCATGCTCTACCACTGAGCTGGTTAGACAACTGTTGCACTTTGATTACTTCAAGATGCCTAAAACTCAGATCACATGCAACCTTTGATGAGCTAAATCATATAAATCAATCAATCAATCAATCAAGTTTATTATTTATAAGGATTACAATGCGGGGTTTACAGATTTTGAATATTGTGTGGTTTACATGTTTTAAAATACTAATTACAGAGGAGGCCACTAGGACACCTCAGAACAATTTAGATACTAAAATCACTGGTTTAAGATACAATATTTTATGTAACACAACAAGAAATAACTTGAAACAGGATGACTTTATGTATTTCCGATAAACTCAAAGATAAGCTTTGTTAAGGGTGAATAAAACTCACTATTTCTAGTCTGACTTTACTAGTTATATAGTTACTATACAATGGCAATAATAAATCTATAATTGTTATACACATCTATTGCTGTAAATTAGGTAGATCTGACTTAGGGTTAGACCCATCCCCACCCCAAAAAAAGCCTCTGAGGACTGTATAAAATCATTGATCTTTTGTGAGGAAGAATGGAGATGTCCCCCCTTCCCCTCTCCCTCTCTTTTCCCCTCCCCCCTTAGTATGGCACCGCCCCTTATGCTAAATTAAAATTATTTACGGGAAATTTGGCACTAAATCTCTCTCGAAATGACTTGGAAACGAAAGTAATAAATGGAGCTGTTTTGCAGCTCTCTGGTGTGAGCTGAGAGAAGCTCCACATGGAAGACTGTAGAGCAAAGCTCTATTTTTTTCAAAATTGTTGTATCATTGCGTCTTCTCGATTCATCTGCCCCTTCCTCAGAAGGGGGTGGTGGGGGATCTTGATCCAGGAAATTGGAGCTGGTTTTGGGGACCCATTTCTTGGATCAAAGGCGATTGCCTTCCACATCCCAGGTGCTGTATGACCTTCCCCTGAGGTTCTAATGGCCCCCTGAGGTTCTAATGGTCCCCCTTAGGTTCTAATGGTCCCCCTGAGGCTCTAATGGTCCCATTGAGGTTCTAATGGTTCCCCTGAGGTTCTAATGGTTCCCCTGAGGTTCTAGTGGTTCTCCATGAGGTTCTAATGGCTCCCCCTGAGGTTCTAATGGTTTCCCCTAAGGTTCTAATGGTTCCCCCCTGAGGTTCTAATGGTTTTCTCTAAGGTTCTAATGGTTCCCCCTGAGGTTCTAGTAGTTCCCTCTGAGCTTCTAATGTTGTCCTGAGGTTCTATGGGTTCCCCTGAGCTTCTAATGTTGTCCTGAGGTTCTAATGGTTTCCCTGAGGTTCTAGTGGAAACCCCCTGAGGTTCTAATGGTTCCCCTTAAGATTCTAGTGGTTCCTCCCTGAGGTTCTAATGTTCCCCCTGAGGTTCTAATGGTTCCCCCTGAGAATTTAATGGTTCCCTGAGTTGTAATATTAATGGTTTCCCCTAGTTTTATGGTTCCCCTGAGGTTCTAATGTTCCCCCTGAGGTTCTAATGGTTCCCCCTGAGAATTTAATGGTTCCCCTGAGGTTTTAATGGTTTCCCCTGAGGTTTTAATGGTCCCCGTGAGGTTCTAATGATTCCCTCTGAGGTTCTAATGGTTCTACCCTGAGGTTATAATGGTTCTCCCCTGAGGTTCTAATGGTTCTCCCTGAGGTTATAATGGTTTTCCCCATGAGGTTTTAGTGGTTCTCCCCTGAGGTTCTTGGTTTTTGAGTTTAACCCCTGAGTTCTAATGGTTCTCCCCTGAGGTTATAATGGTTCTACCCTGAGGTTATAATGGTTTTCCCCATGGGGTTCTGGTGGTTCTCCCCTGATGTTCTGGTGGTTTTCCTTGAGGTTCTAATGGTCCCCCTGAGGTTCTAATGGTTCACCTGAGGTTCTAATGGTTCTACCCTGAGGTTATAATGGTTCTCCCCTGAGGTTCTAATGGTTTCCCCTAAGGTTCTAATGGTCCCCTTGAGGTTTTAATGGTTCCCCCTAAGGTTCTAATGGTTCCTCCATGGTAATAATATCATTGATCTATCTGCATCAAACATGGCCCTGCAGAAGCGCTAAATCCGCAGGGGTCATTCGGCTCCTGGGAAATGGCAGGTACAAGGAAGGGGTAATGTGGATCAAGAGCTCTTCTCCAGCCTGTGGAGGAGGAAGTGGAGGCCTGTGAAGGAGGAAGTGGAAGAAGAGGTGGAGCCTGTGAAGGAGGAGGTGGAGGATTGTGGAGGAGGAAGTGGAGGAAGAGGTGGAGGCCTGTGAAGGAGGAAGTGGAGGAAGAGGTGGAGCCTGTGAATGAGGAGGTGGAGCATTGTGGAGGAGGAAGTGGAGGAAGAGGTGGAGGCCTGTGAGGAGGAAGTGGAGGCCTGTGGAGGAGGAGGTGGAGGCGTGTGGAGGAGAAAGTGGAGGAAGAGGGGGAGGCCTGTGAAGAAGGAGGTGGAGGTTGAAGGAGGAGGTGGAGATTGAAGGAGGAGGTGGAG